TGTATGACATAATATGACTTTCTCCCTCTCTAACTTTGAAGCTTCTAGTTTTCTGTGGTTTGGTTTAGAATTCTTTGAGGTGTCTAGAATAATTTTTAGTTAGTAATTATGCATTCACATAATTAGTATAACAACATTAAATTATATAATTAGTGTAAATATGTGTAATGATGTAATTAGAAGGCATAATTACTACTTGCAATTACATAATTAGGTGTGACGACATAGTAAAAATTGTTATAAAATGGGTGTTCACAACTTTAGCTGAAGAAGCTGCTATATTGCACAGTAATAATGTTGATATATGAATAAAGTAGTTTATAGCTCACAAGTGAATGCTAAAAGTTAGTAAAATTGTGCCAAAGTACTTAGAGAAGACGTGGTGAGCTCCCAAAACAGGGGTAATTCAGTGATCTGTAGTCTGCACAAACATTAAGCCACTTGCCTATGTTTTTTTAAACACACCATAATGTAACCTGAGCATTATAAGTACAGATAGTGGCATAACTAAGGAGTCCACATTTTTTTTTTGATGCAGAGCATTCTTGTTGATTTTAGTAAATACCTTGCTTTCCATTACTTTTCCTGTTTCCTTCTGATACACCTTATGTTTTTTTCCTCCCAGTTCTGCTATTGACATCACTTCCTTTTCAGAAAAAAGGAACAAAAACCTTGTAATGAAGAACTCACATATTCCATCTGCCCTTCTTCTCAGAGAGCTGCCGGTAGATGGAGTGGTCCCTGGGCTGTGGCGGGGTGGAGGGGAAAGGTGGCTGGTGTTTGCCTCTGCAGTAGCAACATGCCCCACCCCAGGCAGCACCCACCCACAGGCACCTGGCTCAGGCAATCCCAGGGGGCACTGCAGCCACAGAGGGAAGCACCGGGCCCCCATGTAGCTCAGGCAAGCAGGCAGGCTCCAGGAAAAAAAATAAAATATTTTTTTTTCTTGCCAGGCTGCCTACACTGGCTTCGTGCAGAGCCCCTGAGCTGCACGGAGCCTGGTGCATTGCTCTGTGGCTGTAGGGCAGCAAACAAACTCCTCAGAAGAGTTTTAGTTTGCTGCGCCACAAGTTATTTAAGGCACATTATGCCACCGAATTTGCTACACCAGCTGGAATTACTGCGCAATATGCCGCCGACATGTGCAAACACCAACACCATTAAACTGGTGCAAAAGCATTTCAGCCGCTTTAACGTGTCAGGCACACATGCTGCGCATTTTGTCTACAAATGGCCTATACGTGACTAAAATTCTAAGTTTTTTTTTATGGCTCCTTAATTTCTTATCCTCCAAGAAATCGAAGGGACAAATACTAAGGGACAAATCCTTACTGAATTCCTAAATGATATCTTAGCTATTCTCAATAAGCTGAGCAAATGTCACCATAACATGATCTATCAAAAATTTTACATTGAGCTGCATGGTACATAAAGATCAAAACAATCCAACTTTTGTATTTATCAAGTAGTACTTGAAATGTCATTCCACTAAAAAAGCTATATTGCATGCAAAGTGCAGCCCTTAATTTTTCCTCCATATACTTCCTGGAGCAAATTTTGAAGATTGAGAGGCTGAGAGGAAAAAAGATGCACACTATCAGTTCCTAAGAATTACCTATTTTGAAACATATTTAGCTGGCTAGCTGTATCATTTTCCAATTTAGAAGGATGTGACCCAAGTGTGGAGGGCTTTCATATCCTGTATAAATGACTGTCAAAACTAAATAGCTAGAAACTATCCTGTAATGGATTACAGTCGACATGACACCACTGAATGCTTTCTGAATTTCTACTCTATAAATACACATCCCAGTTGAGGGGCTGGAATTGATAAACAAACAAGAAAAAAAAACGGAAACAAGACAGCTATTAAATCTGTTAAGGCCACTGAGTCAATGTCAGTAACTGTACTCATGCAGTTTCCAAGCTGTATAAAACAGTCTTCTCAGTCTATCAAAACATAATAAAATGAATCTTCAACCCATCAGTTCTTGCTGCCTTGAACCCTTTGTGGCCAAGGTGTCAAACATATGGTCTGCAGACAGGATACAGACTATGGAAACAATCCCAGTTGCCCTTCAGCCACTTAGCTGCTAATCGCTGCCATGGCCCTGCCTCACTGATTACTGGCTCCCACCATGCGCCCCATGCTGGAGCTACAGCTCTTGCTGTGCCAGAGGGTATGCAGTGGTAACAGGCCTAGCTTTAGCACAGGACACACAGTGAGGGCTGAAGCCACTGCTGTATTCTCTGAGTTGGAGCCGCAGTTTCTGCCACTGCTACTATGTGCGTCAGTCTGAAGACAGCAGTTACCACTATGGCTAGGGACAGACATTAAAAAATTCAGAGCCTAAATTGATTCAACCCTTGCAGGTTAGTCTAACCTGCTTAGGCTGAACCGGTTTGTAACAGGACAAACATTCTCTCTGGTCTGAGGCAATGCAGACACATGCCTGCAGTTGCTCAGACCAGGCGCTGGGGGGTGCTAGAGTTCACCCTCCAATGCAGGGATGTTTCCTAGGGGTGTGTGGCCAGTCCGGGTTGAACTGGCTGGAGAGGGGCTTAATCCCCCTGTCTCTGTCCCAACGGCAAGGACCCAACCTAGGTCTGCCGGGATCTCCCCTTTCGCTGAAGCAGCAGCCAGGCTCCATGGCCCCTGAGGCAGAGGGGGCCAGGGAGGAGGATTAGTCTCCCCTCTACCCACACCGGCAGCTGGGTCTGCGTGCTGTCACCACCATGCTTGCTCCCTGTGGTGGAATAAGTCCCCTACCGTTCCCTCCATAAGACGCCAAGGGAGGGGGAATAACCCCGTCCCTGCCCCCCACAAGGGGCCCTGCTGGCTGGTGTCTGGCTGTCCGCCCTGCTGCTGCATCAGGAGGTGGCAGGGCCTTTGATGGGGGCAGCAGCCCCTGTCATAATGTTGGGAAGTGCAAGCCCCTTCCTGGCGGGGGTGCTGTGCTGCAGGCCAGGCAGAGCTGCTGTGGGCTTCATGCAGCAGCACTGGGGTCCGGAGGGGGCCAGAGCCCTCCAAGCCCCCTGCGGCACCACCACAGCCAATAGCAGATTTCCTCACCCTGCAGCGCAGCCCCCCACCAGGAAAAGGCTTGGCTTGGAGAAACTGTGACAGGGGCTGCTGCCCCCATCACAGTCACTCCCCCCTTGCCGCTCCAGTGGCTGGGGCGGGGGCGGGTGTGGGGCCAGATGTCACCACAGCAAGGCCCCTGGGCGGGTGGGGAGCGGGCTTATTTCTTGGGGCTTATTTCCTGCTCTGCCCCCGGGGCACCGCAGCTGTGTCTGCCTGGCCTGGCTACAGCCGCCACTCGGTCTGCACTTGGGACAGTGTCTGACAGAATAAGCCCCCTCTTGCCAGCAGGGGGCTGGCCCTGAGCATAGACCGAGTGGCCGCTGCGGCCAGGCTGGGCAGACCCAAATCAGTTTCTTCTAGTAGGGAGAAATAAGTGTAGCCAGCCCCGCCAAGAAGGTAACTCCGGTGTCATTTAGGCGATGCCCTTGAAATCATGTAATTCTTTCATAAAGTTTGAGAAATCCATCTTAAAGCTTCCAGTGCTCCACTAGATGGTTGTACTAGACCCTCTTTGTATTGATGTCTGGAAACTTTCTAATGTTCATTCCAAATTGATTCACAGCTGGTTTGCTGTTTGTGTCAACTATGTTTTTTAACTGAAACAGTCCTCTTCCCATCTCACCTTTACCTCAACCCTGGTGTTTAATCCCTGATATATTTACAAACAGCAATTATATCCCCTTTCATGTTTGTCTTACTAGCCTAAACAAGCCACACTTTTCAGTCTCCTTTTATATGATAGGATTTTCTTTACTTTCAGTATGCTATCAGCTCTTCTCTACAACTGTGCAAGTTTAAATTCAGCTTTCTTAAACATGAATGACTAAAATTGTATGCCGTTTTCCAGATGATGTCCACCAGTAACTGTCTAGTACAGGGGTAGGCAATGTTTTTTGGCTGGAGTGTCAAAAAACCCACAATGTCTACTTTGGAAGGTGCCGGAGTGCCAACATGCCAGAGCCTGGAGCAGCTGTTTGCAGCCTCCCAGCTGCAGCCAGCCCATGGAGCCTGGTCTGCTTGCAGCCTCCCAGCTGCCTGCTGGGAGCAGCCTAGGCTCCGTGGCTGGCAGCAGCTGCTTAGAGCCCAGGCTGGTGGTGGTGTGCCAAGCAAAATGGCCTTGCTCAGCATGCGTGCTGGGGGCTGCTGATCCCTGGTCTAGTACCTTTCCTATATATGTTTGGATTGCATTCATCATTGCTGCATCATATTGGTAGCTCTTGACTAATATATACAGAGCTTCCTCCTCCACCATCATTTCCAACTAATGAGCTCCCAAATTATAGCTGAAATTCCTGCAATCAGTCCTTAAGTACATGACCTTGCATTTTGTACTATTAAATTTTATCCTATTTTATTACACCAACTCTGAATATCTTTCTATTGTTTTTCTGTGATATTTCAATCCACCTCTATATTCACTATGTCCCTCAGCTTTTTTCATCACAAAATTGCTTTAGCACATTCCCCCTTTTGTGCCAGTCATTAATAAAACAATTAAATAAGATTGATCCCAAGACTAATCATTGATGAACTCCATTAGTAATTTCTCTCTAGCCTAATAATTTTCTTCCAGTACAACCCATTGTCATCCCTTCTGTAACCATCACCTTACATACCTTACAATTCTTGTATTAATTCTCATTTTCTGTACCCTAACTACTAATTTCCTGTTTGGCATTATATTAAAAGCTTTATTGACTCCCTCAGAATCAGATCTCCTGCATAACCTTTTGTCTAGAAAACCAGTTATCTTATTAAAAATAAATAGAATGTCTCTTTTGTCTTAATATTATATTTAGCCATACATTAATTATATAACTGGATCTTATCTTAGGTACTATTCCATGGTTATTTCTGCAATGCATCAAGTAAAGAATTTATACAGATAGATTTGCAAGATAATTACAATACTTACTGTATTGGCAGTTTCTTCCCATAAATTCACCAGGACACTCACAGGAATAATTGGCAACAAGATCTGTACAAATTCCACCGTTCTTACAGGGTTCAGCTTCACATTCATTTACATCTAGAGAAACAGAGAGTCATGATTACTACAGAAACCTTTTAAAAGTTCTCAGCATGTTTTAAACAGAAAAAAACTCAAATGTTTTCTGAGGATCCATATTAGTATTTTAGTAACAGCAAACATTTCGGTAATAGTAAACATATTTTCAGAAAACAATGCAAGCTGCGCAAAATATAATCAAAGCAAAGTATCTTAAACAGATCTGCTGTAGTATAGAATTGGCTAGTTTCACAAACACATTACTTGTTTGAAATGTCCTATTGAGTAAGAGAATAAAAAGCTAAACTGTGGCCATAATGGCAGAAATCTCTTTGATCCCAGGACTATCTTTCTTAGTTATGCACTTGCTTCAGGGAACAAGTAATTTGCATCATAATTTACCTGACAGAAATCACTTTCCTTCTGCATTAGACAGATGAAACTTTAAGACTCCAACCTTTCCTCCCCACCACCCCTTCCTACCCCATGTATTCCATGCCAACCTATGTGGAGGGGAAATAAGCATCCTGTGCCATGATCCTTAATATGTGTCTGAAAAAAAAAGGAGTGAAGCAATACTTACTCTCCCTATTTCCCTGTTCTATTTTTTTGTGTGTGTGTGGGTACAGACTGCAGGTCACAATTAGGCTCTAAATAAATAAATCCAATGAACCCTAACAGAATAGCTAATTAATACCATTTACAACTTCTCTTTCAGCAATAGATGTCACTTAAGAATGTCTCCCCGTTCATCTTAATTCATTAAACATCTAATTGACAGGTTTGTTACAGTGACTAAGTAATTCCCTTGCTGTGCATGCGTTAGTGGGGAAATTGGAACTAATAGCTTAATTCAGTAGCTTACAAATGTATTGTAAGCTTGTGTTAAATTCAAAATATCAGAGCTAGCTAACTTGGGGAGTTTCTAGAGTATAGCAAACTTTAACTGAAGCAGAAAGGGTGGCTTTATATTCCCCTCCCTCCTAAGCCTGTGGCGTACATTTGACAGGGAGTATTAAAAGAAAGAAAATAAATGTTGGTGATTCTCAATCAGAAAATATGAAAACATTTTAGGACATTACCCTTACATATACCCTGTAAGAAAAAGTTAAATGGTTATACCATTAAACTGAGAACCTATCTTTTACCTTATATTGCAGGACTGAAAAAAATGTCTGAGAGAGGTCAGAAGAAACAACAATATCACAATTTACTAAAATTTACCAAAAGTTCACCAATGTGTTTGCAGCCTAAAATATATTTTCCCCTAAATACCAAGTGAGGAAGCTGTGCGACTGATCAGATTTAGCTGAATGCTCTTTCCATGAGATATCAGAGTGGTTAATGTCGCCAATGACGACCATGCACCAAAAGTGTGCAGCCTCTGCCAGTTCCCTACCGAATTCATGGTCAAGCTCTTCTTCCAGGTCTGTAACAGACTCCTATGGTTATATCCCCTTTCACCCCCAGAGGGTCTCGAGTCATAGTTTCATAGTTGGTAGGGTCAGAAGGGACCTGACCAGATCATCAAGTCCGACCCCCTGCCATGGCAGGAAAAAAGTACTGGGGTCAAACGACCCCAGCAAGGAGTCGTCCACCATGGGTGCTAATCTCTGCTTGTAGGGAAGTGTACTGCTCCTTCACATAGAGAGCTACACCCCCCCCTTCCTTGCAACATGATCCCTGCTATACAAGATATAGCCATCAATACCTGTAGTTCAGGCATAGGTGGAGTCCCACCAGATCTCCATTATCCCTATGAGATCGTATTCATTTGTGCCTAGCAGAAGGGACAGTTCCTTCTGTTTGTTCCCCATGCTCCTGGCATTTGTGTACAGGCAGCTAAGCCTGCCATCGGAAGCCCTGGGCTTCCCTGTCCTCTTAGAGGAGTCCCATCCTTGAGCTGGGGTAGGAGTAAGATCCCTTGTGTTACCTGACCTGCTGATTTGGTGATTGTCACTTCCAATCTACTTGTACTAGTGATTGTCCACTCATCCCCTGGCGATCATAATTTAAAGCTTTGTCAAGTAGGTCAGCCATTGTGACCAAGAAAAGCTTCTTTCCCATCGAGTGCTTCAGTGTGGGGGCTGCCTGCTGGTGAGCTCCATGCTGAAGCACCCTACACAGCATGTTGAGCCAGGCTGGAGCATCCCCAGGCTGCCAGGCTGACCACCAGACCCTCTGCCAGCTGGAGCTGCTGTGACCCAGCTCAGCGTGCTGCAGTCCTGCACACACATGTAAGTGCAGCATCCAGGAGCAATAAACATCGGCACAATATGTGCCAGAGTTTATTGCTTCACATTTTGTACAAGCAGGTACATTTACTAAGGACTATATGGCATAGGCTACTTAGTACACAGTATGCAAAGACGCTAAATTTCAACAGTCTGCTCCTGTGCTTTTATCTATAAACAATTCAGAAAAAAGATTATTGGAATCAGTTTTATGATGGAGAAAGAAATATTGTGAGATGACTTTTAGCAGTCTTACTGCACACAGTAATACAAGCATAACCCTTTCACATCTTGATTATATGCAGAATGGCACAGATCCACATGGTTTCCCATATTCTGCATTTTACCCTATCTAAACTAGCTTAAAAACATTTAGAGGGCAAAGAGTTCTTTGTTGACTATGTTTATGATCTTTTTCCTAGTACCTACATTAAATTAATTGCATTCATAACATTTGGCATGGCTACACTTCTTTTTAACATGAATACATAAAAAACATAAACGCAAGCTTGAAATTTCCCCATTTTCCTTTTTTTTAAGGTAGAAATACATTTTGTTTAAATACAGTGCATCTGGTAGAGGATCTAGAAGTCTTCTCCCACACCTGTATCCTATTCTGTTTTGGAGGCTATGCATACATCAAAGTCTCAGTTTAGAAAATCCACCCTTGGCCATATGCAAATAGTCTGTTGCGACTTTTATAGATCAGCGACAAATTTTGGAAGGCTGAGAGTTATCTTCACATTGAAAGAGAAATTGATAACATGAAGCACTGATGTAGCTTATTTGTTTATAGCAAGAACACAAATCCAGATTCCTTGAACTGAGCTGGTCACAAATTTCAATGGAAAATACATCTTACAAAGCCTCAGCTCAAGTATTATCACTTCTGTTTTACTGATTGTCTTGAACTTTGTCTGTCTTGGACTCTTCTGAAATCTCAGTTTAAAAAAATGCCCCCTATCCTTGCTTCAAACTGATGGCTGTATTGAGAAACCTGCTATTGCAAGCTACTCACTTATGGCCATATTGAAAGATGGTCCTAGTGTCATATCACACATTAAACTTAGTATGTATTAAACTTGCTTAAAATGTGAGCAACCATGGGTTCAAGCAGTAAAACACATGCTAAGTACAACACAACAGGGAGTGATCAAATCCGATAGTTAGCATGAAAGATGCTTACTGAGATGTTCTGGAAAAATAGATAACAGACTGCTAAATGTGCACCATGGCAAACAAACAGTCCATGAACAGTTAGGTTAGAGGTCTCCTGCATTCCCTCCTATCTAGCAGAACATTATCCTAGATAGTCATCAGCCAAGGCTTCTTTGATCAGAACAGCTTGTTGGTGGTTCTGTATGAGACACTTGGCTGGAAAAGCTGCTTCAGCTCAGGCCCCATCCAAAGTGTCAGGAGCTTTCCCTGAGGTAACTCCATCCAGAGCTGCCCTGGTTTCCCTTGCTTTGCACTTATTGTGGAGGATGCAGGCAGCAGCCACAAAACTGGGAATATTTCTCAGCCTGAGTTCAAGGTGGACCACCCAGTGGCCTTTAGGTGCCCAAAGATGCATTCCCCCACCATTTGACAGCTGCTCAACTGGTATTTGAAGATCTCCTTTTTGGAGTCCACCCAATTGGGTGTACAGCTTCATGAGTCATGGGGGAGCAGCAGGTGGCTGGGTCTCCAGTAATCAAGGGGGGAATGGTCAGCTCACCAAAATCCATGGTGGGAGTGCTTGGGGCAAATTCCTCCTTCCTCCTTCACTCCATCATCTCCAGGTAACTGGAGTTCCTGAATATGAAGGCATTGTGGACTCAGCCTGATCACTCAACACTGATGTTAGTGAAACACCTGAAGTGGCCCACAATTGCCTAGAGTATAACTAGGGTGACGGTACATTCCAAACAAAATGAGACAGTCCCAGCTTCCATAGTCTGGTCCTGGTCTGTTGGTCAAAAGCCCTGGAGCCGAGTCCAGCAGAGATGTGGAGTGGCATAGTGTGCCAAACAGTTGGGCAGGCAGGCACAGTTCCTGCTGGGCAGGAGTAAGGCTGGCAGACTGGATCAGGTGGACTGGCCTGGACTATGGAAGCCAGTACTTCCCCAGTTTACCCAGGACATATGGTCACCCTGAGTATAACTAAAAAGAACCCCTTATGGTTTATGTAATCTGAGGTGCGATGAAGTGGGCACAGAACAGGTGTGTGGATCCCACTGATAGTCCACAAGCAATTCATGAAGCCTATCTCTCTGAATCCATCAATGAACTCCTGCAGGTCCCTGAGCCAGATGAACTGAGGTCCCAGCTCAAGTATGGCATTGTACATTTCATGCATGGCCATTATCACCATTGATTGCGGTGTGCATCAATTTCCAAATGACCAGGGCCACATCTCTCCACACCATCTACCACATCCAAATTACATCTCTCAATGAACAGGGAGTGCCAAAACCCAATGTCATTGTGCTGCAGAGGCCAGCTCAGCCCAAAGGTTGATGAATGGGTCATGGGAAACCCTAAAGTTTTGCTGCCACTGTTCATCATCCCAGGTTTCAAGCATGAGCTGCTTCTACCAGTCTGAGCTCACGAGTAATGCCCAGCAATAGGCTGACACCAGGCCTGCAGTGCTGCAGCTTATGTCATTGTGTTGTGCCTCCTCCAAGTGGGCTAACATGATGCCCATGACAGCATCATGGTCCTCAAGGGACCACCAGGGCTGGAAGCTTGCACTGCTGAAGCACGAAGTACCTGTAGATGACAATGGCCAAGGAAAGGATTTGCTTG